GTTTTTTCCCACAAGCATTTTTTTTTTTTTTGAAACAACCCAACTATCATTAATAAAAACAGATTACAGAGTACATAATTACACCAAGGTAACAACTAGTCATTCTTATCCTCTATATGACAAATAATCAAAAGGTTTTTTCTTTTTTTGTTTTTCTGTTCTTCTTTTTTTTTTTTTAGAAGAAGATAGTCAAAAGTTTATTTCACGAGGCAACATGAAATGAATTTGAGTTGACAAGTAATAGGCTCTGCCGTTCTCCTTTTGCAGTGCTAGATTTACACTTGTACAACATGCATAATGCTGGTAAGTTTCTTCTGGATTGTAGATCTTGATCTGAAAAACTATTCTGTTAGTTGTTGCATTTGTATTTTGCAACAATATGTATTATAGTTTCATATTGTATCTCTGTTAATCTTAGAAAAGTAATTTTGTTTTCTTAGGATTGGTCTATTTTAAGTTGTTGACGTAAACAGTGTTAATTATCTCGTTAATCTTTAATTATTGTATTTGACTTCCCAAGTTTACAAGAGATAGTGATTGGGTGAATTAAGTAGTTGTGACCCCTTTTGTTTACTACTTGCAGTTAATTGATTACAGCTTGTAGTTGTAGATACGAATAGTCAAAAAACAAGTTTTTAGAATGCACACCTCTAGGTAGCCGCCAATCTGATTGACTACTTTGTGCTCACGAATTGAGGGAACACATCTTGTGCTTCGCATGTAAGTGTGGTGAGTTTTTCACTGGTATTGTTAATTCTCATCATATGCTAGTTTCCATCAGCCACCGATACTTTGTTTTACTTTTTAAAATTTTTGACAGTTATAAGTAATCATAAGGATCCCCTTTCCATTACTTTTGACAGTAACAAAAAATTTTGACCCGTAATATTTTGAATACTTTTGACCGTCTCTCCTTTTGTAAGCATGTTTATATGATATGATTTGCTTGTTTAGACGTCAGTTTTGTTTTCATTTTCAATTTGAATGTAGAAAGTGTTTTAGGTGGAAAACTTAATGCAAGATGAAAAAGTTGTTTAGATGGTGGTTGGGAAAAAGTTTTTTAGAATATGTATTGAAATATCAAGTACGAAAAATATCACTAAACAATCGAAAAATGTCAATTTTAGTCATTGTAAAAAAAATTTCAAAAATGATCACTAAACAACGAAAAAGTGTCGATTTTGGTCACTGTAAAATATTAATTTTAAAAGTTATTCCGTGATTTTAGTGATCATTTTATAGTGACTAAAATTGACACTTTTCCGTTGTTTAGTGATCATTTTTTAAATTCTTTTTTTACAGTAACTAAAATCAAGGCAGAAATTGTTGCCACCCCTTGCAGAGCTGGCACGGACCTCTTGCACCGGCTCTTTTTGCCCCGGCGAGGTCCTCCATCACCGGCAGGGACAATGTATTGTTTTTCTTTTTTTTTTTTTTTAAATCTCATATTTGAATATAGAACTCAGATTTGAACGTATCTTGAACTTCCGTACTTCTTTCCATATCTGTTTCATTCATTCCGCCATTAAATCTGAGTTTCATGACTTTAGGAATGAGAGAATTTCAAATGAAAGATTGATTTAGGAGTTGAAAAAATGAAATTGAAACTAAGAATTTATAAAATTTGGTAGGAATAAAATGGTCTTTTGATATTAAATGAGGACGTCAAAGAAAAGAATTATGGCGCTTAATAATCGAGGATGGGGCTCTTTCTTGTGCTTCTCATTTACAGGTTGTCAGTTATTCAGTGGTGGGAATTGGAGGCATTGAGAATTGACTGTTGACTGTTGAGGTCTTTGTTTGGAGAACAAGAGAGAGGAACCGGACTTTGATATATTTATTTTGAAATAGAAGAAGGCAGCAATGCTTGCTTAACGATAATAATGTAAATGGCATGCATTTTTTGTAACTACTCCTAGATTTGAGAGTCACTGGACGTCTGGACTGTTAATACATTTTTTCTTTGAAATTGAAATATTTAAGGATCCCAAAAAAAAAAAAAAATTAAATACGTTTTGATAATTAAAAGTGTTTATCACGAACACAGAAAATTGAAATGAAAAAAACAAGAGTAATTTCACTTTTGATAAACCTTTATAACATTCCTTTCTTCTTCCTTTTCTTATTTAATTTTTTTTTTCAAAGAAAAATTACTATTAATTCATGTTCTTTTTGACCCAAAATGAGCCGTCGGGACTGCTGATTACGAAGAGAGTCATGCATTTTTTTGTAACTACTCGATATGAAGAGAGTCACTGGACGTCTGGACTGCTGATTACGAAATTCTTATTCATTTTTATTTTGAAATTGAAATATTTAAGGTTCTAAAAAAAATAAAAATTAGAAGGGTTTTGAGAGTAAAAGTGCATATAAAGAACACAGAAAATAGAAATGAACCAGACAATACTGATTACACTTCTACACTTTTGATAAGCAAGAGTGTGTATAGTTTTGGGATTTAAAGTTAAGCAAAGAATTTAATATCGATATGCATATATGCTTATGGGTTTTTCCATCTCAACTGAACTCTAATAACATCTTGTTAAAAAAATAAAAACAAAACAAAAGGAAAGAAAACTCTAATAACATCTTTTATAGTCCTTTGTCATTATTATATACATAACTTCTAATTAATTTCGATCTCTCGTATTAAAGAAAAACAAACTTCGGATAATTTATTTTTTTCTTCTATTTATAAAATAACTTTGAATAAATTTAAAATGCATTTTATCAAACAAGAGCAAATAATCTGTGTCGCCAAGTTGTCTAACCAACTTGATCTAGTACTGTTCATCCAGCACCAACCATTCATGCATTCAGTTAAGGTCGTCAAATGGTATGTCTCATCCAAGCCCAAGTCCGGCTCCGTCATGATTTAGCCCCAAGAATAATTTACAAAACAAACCTGAAAGGAAAACAAAGCCGAAGGAAAAGCCCATCTCTGTAACTACACTAGAGAATGCAGTATTCTAATTTGTCTCATACAAAAATATTTTTGTTTTCGATAAGAAGAATTTTGAAATACTTATTTACGGAAAGAAAAAGTAAACCAATCAATTTCGACTAATCAACAACAAGAAAAAAGTGTTTACGTATTATCATCATCATCAAATCTAGTCATCCGGCTTTCAAATCGAGACTCTAATCACCAGTTAAAACAATGAACACGTTAATTCTAGCATATTAAACTCACAATCACAAAAATTTTCACGATTAGTTATCCTTTTTTTTTTTTTTGCTTAAAATGTTTTATGGTTGCCTGATACTTTGAAGATAATGTCATATCTAATTTTAAAGATACCGGCCTCAAGCACGCCTCGCATGGTCTTACTCCCTCCTCCGATCCTTATGCGATTGTCAACGTTATGAAATTTAAAATTAAATGTGATCTTTTGTTATGTTAAGGCGGGAAGGAGTATATATTTTTCCAAAGGTGTACGGGTTTACTAATTTAGTGGAGAAAGTATAGTTTAATTGTTGCCGGCTTCGCCCCCCCCCCCCCCCCCTTCCTTGAGGTTTAAATTTTGGGTTAATGGCTATTTCAAAAAATTTAAGAGAATGTAATAGATAGTTAGTTTATATATCACCTTTGTGGAAATGTAAAATGTACCTAAAATTATATCATACAAAGGACCGAGTTTTAGATCACATATGATCATCAAATAGAAAATTAACTATTTTAAGCGATTCAAATAATTTTTTTTTGTTACAACAAAGAGAGGTTCAAGTGTTTCGATTTAAGCAAAAACGGTATGGGAATACGCAAACACCCGATGGTAACAAATAATCTTGACGACGAGCAGAGATCGAGTTTATGACTAATGAAACAGAATTAAGTACTTTTTTTGGTAGAAAAAACAAGCTCTAATTAATTAATTGAACTAACTGATTTCTTTGCATGTATATGTACATCAACTGCAGTTTTGCTTCTTCTTTTTGTTCCTTTTCCTTTTACTCCCAGTTGCTATAGAAACATGGAATACTAATTACCACTCTTACCACTACAACCACCAACTAACACTAAAAAAAAAAGAGAGAGAGAGAGAGAAAAACATAGCCTAGATCAAAGGAAATGTAGTTGTGTAGGATTTTAGGGAAATTAAAGAAAAATGTAAGTCGGGAGTAAAAGATCCAATACTTCAAATCCCTCTGAAGCATCCTTCTCTCTCTGCCTATGGCTGGTGATTCGCCGCCGGCTATAGGCCATATACCACCAATTCAATCTCTCCAACGACCTTCTTTTGCACAAATTTTAGGATTTAATCCAAAAACTATACAAAATCATTCAGCAAAAAAAAAAAAAACAAAAAACCCTCACCCCAATTGTAATCCAATCAGAACCAACCCTTTTGAAGGGAGAACCAACTTTCCTTCTTACAAAAGAAGAAAATGAACGATTGGTTTCAACTTGCCCTTGTCGGAAAATTTACCAAAAGCCAGCCAAAAATGGACTTTTTGAGGAAATAATTCCAAACAATTGGCTTCAAAGGAGACTTATCACTTGGAATAATCTATCACCGACATGTCCTCATCTTGTTTGATCTTGAGGAAGATTATCATCGCTAATGGTTAAAAGGTCTATGGACCTTTGACAAACACTGGATGCGAGTTCTCAAATGGACCACGGATTTCAACCCGTTACATGAAAGCTCTATAGTTCCGATTTAGATTTCTTTTGAAGGTCTCCCCATTCATCGCTTTAACAAAAAATATTTGTGGAAGCTTGCTAGTATCATTGGAACACCTCTTTAAATTGACGTTTCAACCCTCAATATGTCATGTCCTTCGGTGGCACGGGTTTGTGTTTAGATTGATCTTCTTAAGGATCATCTCATTCATCCGAATCCGATTGGGTGTTTGAAGGAAAATCCTATTTTCAATCAGTCTTTTATGAAAATATGCCTCTATATTGTGTTGATTGCAAAAAGATTGGGTATGATCTCAATTTTTGTTGACACAATAAGGAGCAGCGATGCTACAAAAGTTTGATTCATTGTATTGTTCGAAGCAACAGTCTGACAAGCAAACATTAAAAAAACTGGAGCAGAAAAAGGGAGCCCCTTCTACTGTCGTTCAGCTTCCGATTGAAGTCGCCACTGTCGATGCAATTCCCGGCAGTTGTGAAACTGCTATTGCAAAACATGGCCGCTGAAGCAGATCCGCCCCTTTCTGATGATGCTCCACTGTTGGGGCAATCAATTGCTATTGATGATGTTGCGCACACAATTGCTGATGTTGCAGTCTCTGCTGAAGAAACAAATCAACGAGCCCTCGCTATGTTACCGCGGGTAGAAGCTGAAGATGTCGCTACCATGGCAAAAACCTTAGTCGCACCCCCCTGCGGAAAGTCCACCACGCCAAAAATGTTAATCTCGAACCGAGAAGGATCGACATCGGGATTGACAACATTGGAGAAAATTTGCATACTAGTGGACATTATTGACAGGCCACCACTTCCCTTAATCTCTGAAAAAATGGCGGAAGAAGAATCTCCGCGGCCTATTGGCGTCGATGATGAAATAGTATTGCCGCTGCTTAAAGTCTTTGATGCTGCTGCTGCCTCAATTGCCGCTGCTGCCCCAATGTCGGAGGGGGATAAATCAACTCCGCAGAGTATAGATAACTGGCGACAACCGCCGGAGTTCACAGAAGGAAAAGAAATTCCGACTTCGGAGCATTCAAGTTTGCAGCGGCGCACCGCGTCAGCCGAGTCTGTTGCGCAATCAATGGACCGTATATCACTCTCCCAATCTGATCCGATTTTTTCTGTTTCAAAGGAAGATGAGTTGAAGTCAAAGTCTCCACAATTTTCTCCTTCAGATAATGAAGTAATTTTCCCTAAAAATAGCTCTAATAACGGCTCCGTAAAAAAGTTAAATCCTGCTGCTCCGGAATTTTCTTGTCCTCCTAGTCAACAAATCCCACTTCTCCAGGTCTTGCTTCCAATTTCAGGCCCAATCTCCGATAGGAACAATAAATAATTCTTCTCCAAAGACGATACGGAGGTAGGGAAGCATATAATGTCTTTTAACCCAAGTTATTCTATTGAAGAAATACATTCCGAAGGCGGCCACAATCATGCTTCCAATGGTTCTGATGATGAAGATTTTGATATGGAATATGCAATGGAACAAGAGTCCTTTTACAGTGAAGTTTGTACTCCAACATATCACAATCGATCAAAAACAGTCAAGGCTAAAAAGAAAGTTCAAGTTCGTCGGTCTGCTAGATTTGACAAAGATTCAACTTTACTTTAAGATCAACATTGTATTTGATGTAGGGTTTAGTATATTCGCTGCCCTATTTTTTTTTCTTTTCTTTATAATTAATAAAATTATTTTTTGTTTTTTTTTAAAAATAGCCTAGATCAATTTGAGTCTTGTGATATCAATAGATGTTTTAGAGAATCTTAGAATTGATGTTCTTTTTCCATATCCATCACTTGGAAGTAAAAGAAAAAAGAAAAATAGAGAAGAACAAAACAAAAATCATTCATTGGCATACAAAACCTTTTTTTTTATGTTTTGTTTTTACTAATGATGATCTATTTTAGTTATAAAAAGTATAGAAAAATTTTGAAATTTATATGATGTTGAGTTGTGGGTATCACTTAATATTAAATTGCAAAGCTGATCTTAGAGGCAGACAATTTTCTTTAAGGTACACTTAAAATAATGAATATAATAAAAATATAATATTGTTAAACAAGGGAGAAAACCCTAGAAGATGATCACGACCGGTAGCACAAAATACAATTACCAATAACACAAAAGTAAGAAAAACTAAAAGATGAGAAAACCATAGAAGATGATCATTTCTAGTAGCACAAAAGTGAAAAAACTCTAGAAGATCATCATTACTTGTATCCCATAAGTTTTATAATTCTTTTTTTTTTTCTTTCTTTTCAAAAATAAAATCTAGCAATGAGCAAAAACAAAAGGGTCTGAAGTGAAGCGCAAGTCTTGATCAAATTAATGGGTTGAATGTTCAAAATATTAGCATCGACCCAAGCAACTTAAAGAATGCAATAAGTTTTAGGCATGGATGAGTATATTGTATACTTTTTGCTCAAACATGAGGTGATAATTGTTATATAAACATTGAAAGTGCACATAGATTTTTGTGAAGCTATAAATAACCACGAAAAGAAAAACATGAAACCGACCTCGTGACAAGATAATTTACAATTATCATGAATTCGTCTTTCTCCTCCCAACTTATACTATGTCAAAAAATTAAGATTATATTTTAGATCAGCCATTTTAATTTAGGGATTTATGTTTATATATATGAAGACAAATGATGGAAAATTAAAACGAAGCATGGTTTATGGCTAAATTTTTGTTAACTTTATCTTCTTCTGTTCACAGAAAAACTGCATGGAATAGAATGGTGAAAGTTGATCTTGAGAGAGTTAAAATCTGAAATAGAGGTTCCAATTTTTGGCATGACAATTGGTCCAAACTTGGTGTCATCTGGGACATTCCAGCAGCGATGCCACCAATCCTTTCCCTTACCATAATTTTTCTTTTTTATCGCAAACAGGAGCTTATCGCTGAATTCCAATCAGACCTCTCACCATCAGCCTTGTCGAACCTGACTGAGATTGATCAAAATTTTGAAGATGGAGAGGATGGCTTCATATGGCAGCCCAACACTACTGGAGCCATAAAGTCCGCCTATGAAGTAATGAGAAGTTGGGAGCCAAAACAGGGAGTATTGAAACATATTTGGCATTATTTCATCCCTCTTTGTATCTCTTTTTTTTATTTGGAAATTACATAATAAATTGCTCCCAATCTCAGATGTTGTGTAACAACCTTTGGTGTACATGCTAATCCTTCCATATGTCCCCTATGTAGGAATAATGAGGAATCAATGCAACTAATTTTTATGGATTGCTCATATGGACGACTTATATGGAATTTCTTTGCACAGATCTTCCAAATACATTTACCTCCAACAGCTACACCTTGGTTCATGATGCAGCAATGGTGGCCCATTGGAAATTTTTCTTCTGCAAAGAAGGTGGCGATCATGGAAGCTCCTGTCTTTACTTTTTGGGAAACCTGGAAATGGCGGAACAAGATAATTTTTGACGACACCCAAAATCCTCCTAAACAAGTACAAGAAGCAATCTTGGATCACATACAGAATTTATTGGTCGTGCATGATCCTAAAGTCCGTGCCCACACTGAGAAAGGTTTCATGGAAAGTTTTTTTTCCAAATGTCAATTTTAATTTGCGAAGTATGGTAACAAAGGTAGTCCGATGGAAGCAGCCGAAGACTAATACATGTGTTCTCAATACCGACGGATCCACAAAAACAAGAAACTAAAGATTCCGGATATGGTTTCATAATTAGAGGTGACAAGGGATCTTTTCAATACGCAAAGGCTGAAGATATTGGAGATGGGGATAGGTTTCAGGCAGAAATAAGAGGAATACTTTTTGGGTTTCAAAAAATGTGTGACAATGGAGCTACCTAAAGTTGAGGTACAAACTCATAATTTATCAATTGTCCATCTTTTGAACACTGGAAGGAAGTTTCCCTGGGGTTTCTATAGTGAGCCACAAGAAATACTCTTCGTGTTACGGCTACAGAATTGCAACGTCGTTCATGCATACCATGAAACAAATGCAGTTGCCGATAGCCTTGCTAATGCAGCTTCTTCGGGAATATATCAGAGGTTCCGCTACTTCAAAGATCTACCAAATGCTTCAAAAGGACTTCTAATTCTTCATCAGCAAGAATTTCCAAAATCGAAATAGATGACAATTTTTTTCCCGTATTTCTTAAGCTCGCATTAATCAATCATATGTAACTTGGTAACTATTAAAAACTGCCAATACTTATTTCAATATTAATAAAAAGGGTGGCATCCCCTACAGGTTCCACCCTTGGTTTCTCAACAAAAAGAAAAAAAAAATTGTTTTTCCAATTTAAAAGCTTGACATCCAAAGCTTCCAGCAAAAAAAAAAGAAAAAAGAAAAAAAAGAAGACAAATGGACATTAACTTATATATGAGATTGTTATAACCTTAATAGTGAAATTGATGATGGTCATTGTGAGAATGTGACCTTAGTTTGGAGACAAGACTTTTAAAGATCTGTGGGGATCGAATCCGGTATAAGTCTTTCATTGTACAAGACAAAATAATAAAAGAAAGATAAAAGGGGAATTATAACAACAAAATAAAGTGCATTAGGTGTCCTGTATCATAACCAAATTTGCAGTCAAGAATACTTTCCTGTAACTTATTAAATTTCGAATAAACTATTTTGAAACATTTGATCTCATTTATATCAAAACTAATATCTATTTCATTTTAAGGAAAAACTTTTGAATTAAGAAATTTATATCCATTAAAATTCATACCATCACTAACCTGAACTGCTTTATGAAGAGGGGGTTTTTTATTCTTTTTTTTTTGTTTTTCAAGTTAATGTTTCTCTAAATACAAAAATCTTGATGCATGTAAGTTATCAACGTGATAAAATGATGTTGGATTGTAATAATCGTGAGACGACATTCAAAATTTTCTGAATTTAATGCAAAATGATAATAACTATAATGCACATTTTGAAACATTCTTTGCAAAATTTAAAATATCTTTTTTTTTTCCTTAAGAAATAATAATGGTTTCATATAAAAGAAATAATAACATTTAATTTCCAAAGTAATTTTTGAATTTTTATGAAAATTTGAAAAAGAAATAAAATTTACTATTGGTAATTAATGATCTTTTTTATTGTTTGATTTTTGATTATAACGATGAGAGAGTACAACTAATAAAATGATGGGACGATAACCAACCCACTTTAGTTGATTATTGTATACCTCAAATTTATTAAACATTAGTTGTATCAAAAAAGTAATTTTCTATATTTCTTAACAATTCCAGCTTCTGAATTTTCACCAAACAAGCCAAACGCTTCCCTAACATTTGTTTTTCTCCCTATATAAAGTATCTAAACTACAAATCTAAGGAACCATCAAAACAATAATTTTTACGTTCTAACACATTAAGACGCATGGAGCTACAAGTTAACATGAGCAAAATGGTGGGTGTTAGCTTGCTTGCGCTTTTGTTGTGCACGTGTCTCTTACATGATGGATATCACGTCGTAGAAGCACGTCCCTTGTTCTCTATCTCGGTAGCTGAAAAAGCCGTAAAATACATCGACTATGGAGGTTTAACAAAAGGGCCGCCACATGTTCCACTTCCACCTACAAAATATGTAAGAGGATGCAGTACCATTACCCGTTGTCGATCCTTCGGTAGCCATGGATAAACCATACACATTAATTCCATACATATTGAATGATACATGTATTAGCGTTCACAAAATTATAGGTTCTTTAAGTGTTTGGCTAAAAATAAAGGGCGCTACACAATAATGGTTCCATGCACATTTTAGTCAATGTACTTTGATTTATCCTGAAGGCTAAAAATAAAGGGCGCTACACAATAATGGTTCCATGCACATTTTAGTCAATGTACTTTGATTTATCCTGAATGCAAAATACTTAAATTCCTATTTTTTCCCCTATCACTAGTATTTTGGTCGTTAATACTTAAATTCCTATTTTTAACCCTATTCACAATATTTTGGATGTATCACCATCTTGAAAGTTATGAACTTTAATTATAGTATACCAAAATTGTAAAAAGAATATACTTTTTAAGACTTGGCAAGATTTGATATTTTGTTTACTAATTATGAAGATATGCTTCGTGATAATTGCTAAAGCGCAATTGTTTTAAGAAAGTGAAACTTGCGAAAATTTAACATCGAAGGAAGATCCACATTTTTGGAAATGCATGTACGACAGAGAGTAATATATTTTGTCTGTGTTAAAGAAAAATATTTGTTAAAAAGAATTCAATTGATTAAAGGTATTTCATAATTAATGTTATGACTAAATCTAAATTCGAGATGAAGAATAAACATTATGAAATTACGCATTGAATCGAAG